TAGGCATTGCTTCACAGATGTTCAGCATGCAGTAGGGCCACAGTTAATGGTGAAAGGATTCCTTTCACTAAAAATGGGAGAAAATGAAATGTAGGCCATAAACATAATGAAAATGCAGTGTGACTGGAGAAATGTGGTATTTTGCAACGGTTTGTGATTCACCGAAACAGTTTCCCTCTTCCTTAATTGAAATGCCTAGGTCTCATCTCTAGCCTCTTCCTACTGTCTCTTTCTTTCTCTGTCTCTTCAATTTGTCCTGGCTAATTGCATTTAGAACTTGTATGGCAGTTTGTAACTGCATTAACCTTAGGAGTCACATCAGGCAGAGACTATTTAAAACACACCCCTATAGCACCAGTTGTATTGTGGGTAATGCCTCGGGGAGGTGTAACCAATCACATTGGAGTCGAGAGGAAGAGCTCATCATTTATTGGTCACACATTCTATTCAGCATCGCCCCACTACCCATTTCCAATACGGCCACTTCTGTCCCCATTCCTCTCTTTTTCAATTTCCTCATCTCAGCCTATTCGTGCCATCCATCTCACTTTCTTTTCTTCAAAACCACTCACTTCCAAACTTAATTTTTTTCTCGTGTCACACATCTGAAGATGAACGGTGGCAGTGAATAATAGAAAGATGCAAGAATGCTTCAGTTTGAAAATCCACCAAGGCTTTGGTTCTCCAGCTCTATTACTGTATTACTACAGCACTGGGAATAGATGACTACTGCCAAGTGCGGAGGCTAGAAAACTGTAACGCTGCCAGCCTGGTGACTCCTATGGTGCTTTCTAGGACAGTGAGGGTATATGGGAGCTTCATAAGTAAGAGCACTGTGATACTTGTCTCAGTGAGGGCTTGTTGTTCTGCTAGCTGTTGGACTCGCTCACACACAGGCTGGTGCGTAGGATAAGGACAACCATGATGGCCATGTCAGGCTGTTGTCCTTTTCTTCTGCAATCTGATGTGTAGGAGGAAGTCAAACACACACACACACACACACCCTTAAATGCAACAGACTGAGCTAGTCAATCTCAAAGATCTGAGTATGGAGGTGTGCACAGAGGAACTACAAGTGACTGTTGACTTCAAAGCACCCAAGTTAAATACATAGTGCAATACTTACCAACACTCAACGGAGCACAAACAACAACACTCCAGTTAAAAGACATACAATTTAAGCGTAAGAAAAATAATGGATTTCAGAAAACTAAAACGGTTTCAATCAAACCATGTTCTTTCACCAAGTGGGACTTAGTGGACATACCGTGGTGCCACTGCAACTGGTATTGCTATTATCAGAGTAGTTTTCCGACTGTTTCCTGGAGCCAGAGTTTACTGTAGCTCATTCCTAGCTGCCTCAGAACTGTCATTCAAAAACACGTCAGATACAGGCAAATTGCCACACTGAGGCATTTGAGAGGCATATTCCTTCATCACGATGAACACTTCTAGTTTGGTTTACTTCTCTTGTCAATCTACAGTAGTAAAGACGTGTAAACCTGGAATCGTATCTTTAAACATGTTCGTTTATATTTGTGTGAACTGAGGCTGTTCTCTAAAGATCAAACATGTAATGACAGAGTGGGGCTACAGAGACAAGGGGATTTTAGGAGTAGCCACGTGATGAATTAAAGGCCAATATTCATTGTTCTGTTAACTCCACCAACACCCGAGGCAATTATCTTTCTCTTTCGCTGCTAAGCGCTTTGTTCACCATCTATTGTCTAATGTGTGCTGTTTGGTGCTAGCAGGTAGCGTGCTGTGGGATTTCAAAGTGTTCAAATTGCGTTTAGCTGCTGGAAATACAGTTGATTAGAGTGGTGATATGAACCCAAACTGTCCAGCGGTGTGCTAAAAAAACATGAACTGAAATATGAGATTAATCTCTTTAGAGCTGAGGGTAAATGCAGAATTGGGTGATCATTCCCTGTGGCTTTTGTCAAAACAAGATTAACATTACACGCAGATAATTTCCCAATCGAAAGATATTAGTTATAGATGCTTTAAGTATGTAGGCCAATATTTCATTAACAGGCATACTTAATAGCCAGTGAGCCACTCTGCCTTCCAACCATTCAAAATATTGGAGGAAAAGAACAATGCAAATGTGAAATTGAACCTTTTCTGTATGAGAAAATAATTAGTTGTATGCATCTCTGTGTCACTCTCTGATTTAGTGGACATAATCCAGTATATGTGCCCAGATGGACAATTATTCTTCCCACATGTGTAATATTAGTGCAATGCCTAAGGCAGTATTGACACTTGCAGCGCTACATTTTTCATTTGATTAATCTAAGTTTAGTATCACAGAGGGTAAAAAAAGACACGCACACTTGCCGTCTTCTCATTCTCTTAACAAAGCGTCTATACAAAGCAGGGATCGTCTCTCCAGGCAATCGCCCATACGCACAGCAGCAGTGTCTGATTCTATTTGACGGACAAGACAACACATGAAAACACAGCGTCATAGTATCAGGGAGAACAGTTTCCAGGTGCAGAAACTGTTCGCCTCCTCAGGTAGCAGCTTAAGTTCTACCATCAAACCCTCCCCTGCTCTTTGTACAGATAGGTGACAAAGGATGAAACCCATCCCTTTGAGTAAGCCTTAATGCAGCACTCAGGACACAGATTACTGCGTGGCCTTCTATCCCTACAATTAACCCAAGCACCAATTCTCAGAAGCACACACTCGGTCCTTCTATCTCATATCCTTCCTTCCTGCCCATAGTTTCCCCGACAATACTCCCCTGCTTGTGGTTGTCCTTTGATATCACCCTTGAAACACATATTCTCAAAAGGTAGCATCAGCAAAGTTTCGTAGAAAATATATAAATATATACATAAGAGCAGAAGACAATAAGAGAAAGAGACCAGGGCTGATACTGTATATGGAGGCAAACAGATGACAGAATAAAAGACATTAGAACAAGGAGGAGAAAGGGATATGAGGGGGAGGGGAGATAGGGCAAGGTATTGTTTGCCAATGAGGGCCGAAGGGGCGTGCAGCTGCTGGGGGATCACAGAGGGGCTCAAGAGCAGAGCAGAGGAAAGAGGGCCCCTGACCTCTGGAACTGGGTTAAGAGGTTAGAGACACAGAAAGGCTCATATAACGGCCCCTCAATACCTCCGCTCGCACACAGCCCTCTCACATGCATTTCTATAAATACAGAGTGCTATCAGCAGTGCTGTTTGACAGTGGCCTGCGCCTGAGCCCTGCCCCACATTCAGATCATACTGCTCATCCTAGAAAATAACACTTAGTCAATGAAAAGCTGAGCCTATTGATCTGTTGAGCGCACAGTAGAGAAAAAAGCATAACAATATTGGTGTTTGTCAATTCACAGTGACACTCACAAAGTGGCTTCAATTCACTATAGGACACAAATAACTTGAAATGTTTAGTCAAAATAAGTGTTTGACCCTGAGAGGGAGGTCAGCCGTGTCAGGGATAAAGGCATGAAGTTATGAAGGGAATGGAATTTCGTATAACAGCTGAGGTTCAGTACTGCAGGCCTGTTGGGAAGATCTGAACATGGACATGAGCCACAGCGATGAGGAAGGAGTAGACGGAAACGAATGCTTCTGTTTGAAACAGTCACACCACACCAACACAGCGGGTGCGTTATTGAAACAGCTCTGGGCAAGGAAAGAATTCAGTAGGTGTGGGAAGGAGTGTGTATGTGTGTGTGGGGGAGTGATGGAGATTGAGAGAGATAGAGGAGAGAGCTTGGTTTTCCCCGGACAGGTGGGACTTTGTGTGAAACTGGAGAGCAACACTTCCTCTCATCACACTCGTTTATATCACAGCTATTCTTTTGGCATGGGTCCTGCGTGGTTATTGATTTATGTTTTGTGACTGTCACAGATCTGATAGTTATGCAACTTATGCCTTAGTTTTACTTGGACTTACACAACAATAACACATTCAAGTTCACAGCACATCAGACCATCAGGCATGAAATGAGTCAACTGAAACTACATCCTTGACTTTTTTTGTCAAAATCGGTTTTATAATTTCATTGACATTATGTGTATATGGTATATTCCTACAAGCTAACTAGTATTCCAATGCGATGACAAATTGTGTAAAATAATAATAATACATTGTATTTGAATGCGCCTTTCACAAAGACACACGATGTAAGCACATTTAAGTAGGGCAAGTATAGAAGAGACATTCAAAGTAGACACAAATGATTGGGACATAACATTCAAATGAAACTTAAGAGAATGGTAAGCACTACTGTGAGTAGGCTACATTTAACAGGTGAGCTTTGAGGTGAGATTTTAATTTAGTGATGGTGTCGGACTGTCTGATGTGTAGTAGGGGGACTTCCAGAGTCTGGGAGTATTGCAACTGAAAGCCCTAGCACCAATGAATGGGTAGTCTACTATGTGCACTAAATACCTTATGGGTACTCAAAAGCAGCAGGATACTTGCAAGATTCACAGAGAGTGTTAAGGGTCAACAGGAGCTTACAGGTCAACCTTTCCACGAAACCTTTTCAGGTCTATTTTTCCTTGAAAATAATGTAAAGACCACTTGCAAAAATAATTACATTTTCTGATAAAAGGTGGGTCATAGTACCATTAGCGCTAACACTTTGTTCAAACACTTTCTCTGTTTTTGAAAGGTCCAAGTGGCAACCTCCAGTCCTGAAGATTAAGCCAACATGGAAGTGATAAAAAATGCAGTTCTTCCAATGGCTCCAAATGTAAGTCAATCCCCCATGTTTACATTCCTTTCTTAACGGCAGAAAAGGTTGTCAAGAAGTTAGTTTCCCTGTTCGTGAGTAATGTATGGGGGGTGATATTTAGGCTTACAATTGGTGTGTTGAAGAGTTTGGTGGCTTTGAGCTTTTAGAGGTCAACACCTGCTAGCTGTCAGCTCTGCTACGTCACTGGATTACGCCTCAGCTGACTCAACACTCCACTTATTTGCCAATTTTTGGAATAGTGTGTGTGTGTGTTTTTGTGTGTGCTTAGGGACTCACCAGTGAGGTTGGTGCGTGCGCTGTAGGATCCCAGGTACTGCCCATCTGTGTTAGGTGTGTAACACTCAAACAGACCCTGGTCGTTGGCCTGCACTTTGGTGATGTGGAGCATAGCTGAGTCACTGCTCAGTCTCTCCACAGTGATCTCTTTACTGTTGACCCTCTGGGCATACACGGCGTAGGCATAGTTTGGCTGAGCCGTGCTTACGATGCGGATCTCCCTGTCTGCTACTGATGGCAGGTACATGGACCACTCAAAGTCCTGCTCCATTCCCTCTTTGTAGCCCGTCACGTTGCACAAGATGGTCACGTGAGAGCCCTCAGTCCGTACCAGCGGTCCACTTTGCACCGTTACAACTCTCTGAGCCACGGCAACACCAGCTGCAGATGGAGGTGAGGCGAGAGGAGGGAAAAAAGGAGAGAGAGAACAAGGGTTACAAAACTGCAGTTTAAATATTTAGCATTTGCCGACTTTATGCACCTTACATGTCCCAGGAAACACAGAAACAGCGTGACAGGTGCAGCTGAGCATTCTGGAGAGCACTCACTGAGGTGGAGGTGTGCACAGATACACAATCACATGAATGCACACATTTTTTGAACACAAGTAGCCACTTTAAATATTCACAGCAGCTCTTAAAACAGCTGTCATCCAATCACGCTCAATGCTATTACACACACTCACACGTTAACCCTTCACCTCAAGGACAACACTGCTGCTACATTACACTCGAGGTGAGAGGCGGCCATCTGGGAGCGAGAAGAGAGGCCAGTGTGAGCGGCAGAAACGCAAGTCAGCACGACATGTTGAGTGTGTCTAGCTTCACCAAGTACAGGCATTTTTTGAAGTAGATAGTCATTACGGTTTTGTCTGATGCATGGATAATTATGAATAATAACACTGTGACCGATATAGGTATCCGTGTAAATGTCTTAACAAAAATGCCAACAGTGAATTATATAATTTCCATTACATTCATTGGACTATCCAGCAGCGAGCACAATTCTATAAAAGATCGTAATTAAAAATGTCATCAATTCAATCTAGACATAAGTGTCCACATTTTTTTTTTTAAACCAAGAATGATCGCCAACTGCAGTTCAATTATATAAATGAATGCTGTTTTGTCAGATGTCAAAACTGCTACCCAAAAAAAAATGACACGCTTATTATTAAAATACCTCACCGTCCAAATACCCTCATTTGCTCCCTGGAAGCATTTGTTACTCTTAGGATTATGAGGATGGGGATTTATGAGGATCTCTTTTTAACAACAGGGATTTATTTGTATTATTTGCATTTCGCCAATAAAAACGAAGAGCATAAGAATCTAAAAAGGATAACATTCAACATTTTGTTTTTGCAGATTTTATGTTTAAGAGGAATACAAATTAAATATTCGGTTGTCCTCACATGTTCTCATCTACAAAGCATTAAGTTATTGGAGTGAAACATGAGACATGTAGTGAGGGTTGTATGAAACTAAGAGCTAACTTAAAAGGCAAACCCCTGGTGATGATTACTCTGCTTTGTAGCCTATATTTAGGTTGACAGCATATGTGAATCTTGCTTCTACCCCTTGCATTAACACACAGCAAACACCCACACACACCATTCTCCATTCAGAGAACAACTACAAACATCTCTCTCATTGGGGCCAGAGACAACAGAGCACTTACACATACACACCCCCCCCCCCCCCCCAAAACCAGACAGAGCGACAAGCGCGGTGTTTCCTGTCTGCAGAGGCAACTGGGGATTGCAGCTGTGTTTCTGTGTGTGTGCATGAGTTTTTGTGTGTGTGTGTGTGTGTTTGAGAGAAAGTCTGTATAATTCTGTGTCTGAGGGCAAAATAGTTGGCATTAATAATTCACCGGAACAGCTTTTTAACTTCAACAGCCTCTCTCCTTTAATAAGTTACATTCTCTTACACAAACCCCCCCCTGTATTCACTTGCTTCACTATGCGTCCACATAAGCCTATATGTGTGAGTCTATTCATAATCAGACATAACTGAGTGTCTGTGGATCATGCCTTTTATTTCCTTCCTGTATTTAAAGTCCTTGGTGTATATCTTGCTTTTTTTTTTAGACACATACCGCTCTTACGCCGATAAAATTCACAGTACCATCCCAAAGTGAAACTCATTAAAGTAATCATTCTCTATGGCTTGATTTCTCCTAATAGACCCCCACAGGATTAGCCAGGATAAAAAATTGTAAATTTCAAAAATGCTGCAATGTCAACATTTAGATACAACGTTGTTTTTAAGAGAAAATGTAAAAAGGCTTCATTTGAGTTACAGCAGAGATATTGTCATAATGTTTTAGTGTAAACTGCAACGGAAATGTGCCTATAAAAAAATAATAGGAACACTAAACGAAGTTTGAAATGATAAACAAAGATAAGAAAGATCTGAATTAATATTTAATAATTATGTACTCGTTAATTCCATTTCCTAGTTTCATTAAATTATACAAAACATATCCTGATGCCTTTTACACAACTATTTTAGACATTTTTATTGTGTTAATCAATTTGTTTTTTTTACCTGCAAAACCTATGGTCTAAGGGATTTATAAGTCAGTTAACATAGGAAATCCTTCTACAGTGGGCAAGGAACAAAATTCTCTGGACTTAAAAACTGAAATTGACAGAAAGTCTGTGGCAAAGTGTGCTGACGGAATCTGTATTCTGACTCAGACTTTCTTCACTGTGATGTCAGTGTGCTAATCTGGCGGCGCCCGGTCTACCCACATCCAGCTCGGAGCTGTACCGCTGCATCACTGCTTCTCAGGTTGCAGCTACTCATATGGAACTGCTGGAAAAAATATTACTCATACAATCTCAAAAATACCATACTCATACTGTGGTGCATTAAAAGCTTTCCTCCCCATGTCTGTGTGCTGTCATCCTCCTGAAACAAGCTGCCTCCTCGCTTCTGATTACTCTCACTGCCTTCCTGCATGTTTCACCGATCATCAATCCTCTCTGTATATTCCTGTCTCTTCTCTTTGCCTCACAGTTCTCTGCATCTTTTCAGGCAGGATTTAAGCAGCTCTGTGAAACTTCAAAGTGCCCATCGCTCTGCAGGCTGTTTAGAAAGGCTGACAATGACATACCAAACCCTGCAGACCTTCAACTGATCGCTCTATTCCACCAACCCTTCCAAACTAATCCTGTGCCCGCAACTTCCCCCACTTCTTCACCTCTGGCTGCGCTGCCTCAATCGTAGAGTGCCCATATTTGTTCAACAAGGCCTCGGATTTTCTATTATTAACCCTCATCTCCATCTCTGCATACCACGGATGTCTTTCTAGCCCACTCCTCCTCACGCCCCCCCCCCCCCCCCCACTCTGGCTTACCTCTTACGTGTCTCATCTCTCATCTCATGCTGCCAGTCCCTTCCCACACAGCTCATTGACTGGACACAGGAGACGTCCAATGTCACATAATGGTGAATGACTACGGAAAAACTCTATAACTGACCTTGCTGTTTGTCTGCTGGAGCATCCGGAGCTATGGGAGTAGATGACTCCAAACACACACAAGCATACAGACACACACGCTCATACAGACACACACACAAAAAGCTGGAAAGAGGATTATGCTAAGTGGAAGGGGGGTTAAATGCTAATCCAATCATTTGTGGCCAGTGTCTTTTATTCTCAGTGGAAACAGCAGGAAGGCCACTAGTCTTCAGGACTACTACTCACAACATCACTCTCCTGTGAGACATTATAATTACACACCAAGAAAGGTGTGTAATAAAACCACTTCTGGGTTTAAGTATAGGAAGACCTTCACAGCAGTGTGGAAATGTGTTAATGTGAATAGTGAGGCTGTCAATCATCTCTTCTCACTTTGCTCTGATTTCTAATTACACACACATACTGTACATGTCCAGGCAAGAACAGAAGACACCAAGGATTTCCTACCAGCGAAGAGCACCTTCATAAGGTTTTAAGTCCTCAAATATCAGTACTACCAAAAGGAAGTCTTTGCGTTCCGATACTGGTAAAAACAGGATAAGAAGAAAATGTGATCCTTTTAGATTACTCCTGCTGGTTTGTGTCTGCAGCTCGTTCACAAACACAATCGCACTGAATGAAAGAAAAGCATTACCTAGACGTATTTTACATGCATATTAACTTGTCATTAAAAGAGAATAAAAGCATTGATTTATGTCTGGCAAATTATTTTGTAGAATCAACATTTACAGAAGTGGCCAATTACTGATCTCATCTCCTCATAAATCATGACACTGCTCTGCCTTGTGCTAAAAGACCCGTCTCCTTCAAAAAGCTATAAAGAATTGTTTTGCAATCATCTTCTCACTGCAAGTGCTTTGGTGTGCATAAAACACAACTGTCACTACTTAAGTGAAAATAGTTTTGATTATTTCGCATTAATGTATGTGATTTATTCTGGGTTGTTCTCACTGGTTTGAACCGGGCACACGTTTGGAAAAAGGCAAAGCCATGCATCTTCCAATCAAGATTTTGGTTGGTGTGATGTTGCTGTATGGCAGGTCAACCATTTGGAAACCACATTTTTAGGGGCTTAAAAATAAAACCTAATGTTTAAAAGCAAGTCCTCTCCCTCAAACTTTTATACAACAACTTTTTGGGGGAAAGTTTAAGAGCGGGTCAGCTGAAGCAACTCCAGCAAGTGAAATATGAATTAATTATGAACATGCTTGCTAGACATAAAAAAAAATGGACTCAGTCAATGTCCTATCTCCCCAAGGGAAGTTCAGGCCCATCCCACAGATATGACATCTTGTGAAGATTTCTATTCTGCGAGGTGGTGATGAGCAAAGGAAAGGATTGCATGGTGAGAAGAGAGGAAAGAGAGGAACAAGAAGGAAGCTAAAGAGAAAACGACAGCTGGCGCCAGGGGGCTACACTACTAAAATGCACAGAACTAAGTGAATATACAAGCCACTGACTTGTATGATGTACATACGTGTTTGACTGAAAAAACTAAATGCTGGAGGAAGATGAAATACAAAAGAGTATTTCCCTCTCCTCACATCTAGGCCCTGGTTAACCATTCTCCAAAATCACTCAGCATTTTTCTCCCTCTAGGCCCCCAAAAGCATTTGACCCTGTTAACATCATTACCAGAGAGAGCACGAGTATGAGGGAGACGGAGAGATTCCAAGATGAGGGAAAACTGGAGGGAGAAAGATGAAAGAGGAAACTTATTCTTGTAAGGAAACGTTAAAATGTGTAGGCGATATGGACCGGGTGCAATAGGAATGTTGCCTGAAATCGTGCAAAATATAAACCTGTATTGTGCTATATTATATTGGACCTTGCTAGATTATAATTGCCTTTTCTTTCATTTCTTCTCATTTTCTTCATTTAAAATGTAA